CGGGAGACATGGCGGTTGGCTTATCAAGAAACGGTTTATCCGGTTCCTGATTGTTGTGATTGGATCATTGACGACCCACGGGATGCAAACCTCGTGGTATTACCTCCGATTGTGGAAGATAAACGCAAAACCGGTAGACCCAAACAAAATCGGTTTCCAGGCCCCAGCGAACCGCGGACAAAGCGTTCAAAGAAGAACAAATAAAGATATTGCATAAATAATATGATTGTATGATTTCATGTAGTTCTCGTGATCTATGTGATTATATACATTTTCCAGAAGGACATCTATTTGAATAATGTGATTTTCTTTGCACTAGTACCGTGTTAAAGTCTTGAATAGATAGAAAAAAGTTTTGAACTGTGTGACCCATGTGACTCACCTGTGACCCATGTGACCCGAATACATTTTTACACTGTGTGACCCATGTGACCCGTGACTCAGTGGTACTTATAAAACACGGTCAAATCTCGATTTTAAAGTGTTGAAATGAATTATACGATGTTTTACAATGATAATATGGTATATGCAAGTTAAATTCGTTAACAAAAGTAAGAGTTATATGAACATTAGTACAATTTGTTCATAAGTTGTCATGAAACACTAGTATCACTTATGGATTACATTTGCAGGAGTGATTTGAATATGGAAATTGAAACGAATATGATTTTAAAGTTGTTATTGATGTTAAAATCCATGATTAATCACTGCATAACCATGCCAAATCACTAATTCGATAAATTCGACCCATGTGACCTATGTGACCCATGTGACTCACCCGTGACCCGTGACCCATGTGACCCATGTGACCCGTGACTCAGTGGCACTTATAAAACACGGTCATATCTCGATTTTAAAGTGTTGAAATGAGTTATACGATGTTTTACAATGATAATATGGTATATGTAAGTTAAATTCGAAAGTGGACGTGTTTTTTTCATACGGATCTTTTCCAAGTAAAAGTAAAATCCAAAATACGAAAGATTAAACAAAAACTGAGTTTACAAACTACGAAAGAGTTCACAATAAATAACGGGTCAGTTCACAATTTTACCATTACACAATATATCGATAGCCAATTTTTCACGGATCAGTGGAATGGTTCCATCGCATATCAACGTGAATTCTGCTCCCTTGTTCAACATTATTCCCTCCACGTATTTTGCAGCATAGACACCGGAATCAGAACCGGTTGCATTTTCATGAAGCCCAATCTTGTACTGAACCTCGAGACAATCTCCTTTTTTGAACAATTTCGTCTTAGCAAGGACGTATGCATGCGGTATGAGATGAGCTAACTTCTGAACAACCTTATCCACATTCTCCCGCAGTCTCGGCTGGCAGTTGTATACTTTAAGTACTTTGTCCCTGATATGCACTTTAAGGGCAACCCTATGATAGGGAATCTTGGGGTCTACGGGTGAAGGGATGTTCACAACAGTTAGAAGAAC